AGAAGAGATGTTCTTCATAATATCAATTTCATTATTTTAGAAGCGATGTTCTTCATAATGTCAATTTCATTATTTTAGAAGCGATGTTCTTCATAATGTCAATTTCATTATTTTAGAAGAGATGTTCTTCATAATGTCAATTTCATTATTTTAGAAGAGATGTTCTTCATAATGTCAATTTCATTATTTTAGAAGAGATGTTCTTCATAATGTCAAATCGATCACAGATTTATAAAATATTTTACGGTCACATAACGTTGAAACACCAATTCCCGTACTATCACTGAAGTTAAGCAATATCGAACCTGATCAGTACGTACATGGATGACCGCTTGTTTTGGTTTTGTTATTTTTACTAGTGGGCCAGTCAGTTATGTGCCATGTGTCATACACGCTGAGGCAATCATGTATCTTTCGATACATGAATGAATTTTTTCCCGCAGTAGGTTGCCATTTCTTTCTGCAATAGACCAGGTGCCATTCAAGTGTGTCCTACTATTTAGCCATAGCTGGGGTGAGAAGAAGAGGATTCATACCTTTTCCAAGTGAAAGGTATGAATCCATTCCGTAAGTGAATGTAATGAATTCGACTGGAATTCGAACTCGGCTCTTCGTTCCCTCAATTCGAGCCACTATCCATTATTCCATGTAACACCATGCCTTTTCTTGTGGACCAGTTAATTTAAATAGTATCGGAGGCTTGGATATGTTTCGCCTTCTAATTAGGTATAATCCACTGAGAAAAAAAAAAGAGAAAAAAATCAAAGGAAAAATTGTTCATTAATTTATCTATTAGACTGGTCTTTTTTTATATAAAGCGCTAATATGCATCTCAACACGATGCAGATTTCTTTACGACATGCGGGTAGGGAAACAGTTATCGGCGTGGGATGTGGGATAGGCGAGCCGAGTTTAAATTCTAATCTAGTCTGTTGTGATCAGTTTCGCACAAATGCATTTTGGAAAGGTATGCATCTATTTCTCTCAACCAGCCAGCTATGGGTAAAATAGTAAAGCAGAGCGGGATCTCTAGTCTTTGTTGACAATCCTTATAGGAGAAGGAAAATTCAAAAATCAGGAGAAAAAGCCAAATTAATTTGTCTTTCTTAAGCATCATAGCAATTAACAGGAATCTGTAGAGAGCCATGATCGCATACAGTTTTCTTTAATTAAACGATACTGGACGAGCTCTTCCCTCTCCTCCCCGTGTACTCCCTGGGTACTTGGTATACTTAACACGGTGGAAATAGATTGTTTTGGTGGGTATAATAATTTCTGTTACCATTTTGATTATTTTTTATTTGGCGTAAAGAAGTTTGTCTGATCTGATAGATTTACAACTAAAGATGGCTGAAGAAGTTATCGGATGAAATTTTGTGTTAACAATAACAACTATAAAAAAAAATTGACTTTCTGAACAATGTTGGAAATGTTTAATGATAATTCTCAAAGTTATAGGCAATCTTGGCAAATGTTTAATAATAATAATAGCACGCGATACAACAAATGACTTCATTGGTAGTAGATGCAGTGAAAAGAAAATATACTTTGTCAAAAATTTTAATATGTCAGATTTTACAAAAGATATATGCTTATACTTTTGGTCATATGTGATCTTGTTTCTTGGAGTTATTTCAACAGGATCGAGAATACGCCGAATGCAAGAGGTAAGTTCACCCACCAAAAAAAGGGGCTATTTTGTGGGTGAATGCTTGCAAATTTATGCATAGATCTAACCATGGTTTACCTCTATATTCAAATACAAACCAAACCAATGTTCACCTATGGACTCAAGTATAAACCTGACCAATGTTCACCTATAGACTCAAGTATAAACCCGACCAATGTTCAACTATAAACTCATGTATAAATCTAACTAATGTTCACCTATAGACTCATGTATAAACCCGATCAATATTTACCTATAGACTCAAGTATTAACCTGAATGGTTTTCACATATATGTTTACCTATATACTCAGATATAAACCTGACCAATGACTGTTTATAGAATCAAGTATAAAATTGACCACTCTTTATCTCTAGAATCATGGATAAACCCGAACAATGTTCACCTATAGACTCGTATATAAACGCGATCAATTTTGCCTACAGATTCAAGTATAATAAAAAAAAAATGATTTCGATAAATATTAGATTGGTGCATATATTCAATCGCCTTTTCTGATCTTCGAATTATATTGAGGAATAACATTCCGCAGCATTTTTTGCTTCTTAGTTACTTTGGCCGTCATTTCGAATTAGACACCCCTTTAAGATGGAATGCCAAGTAGACAAGAATGAGCATATTCGACACCTTCTCTTTGCGAGGAGGGGAAGTTCGAACTCATAGGCATCTCCGCATTCTGGCTGACCTGTTCAGTTTGATGAGAACCAGTAGCACGCGCTGATTACAGAAGAACCACGCCAGATCACGAGCCAAGATGGCAAGCTCTCATATTACTGCCACTCGTCATCTTCACTCAATGAGTAAGGTCCATAAACACGGCGCATGAGTGCCACATGCATTGACCGAGAGAAACAAACACCTGCACTCCTCCATTGCCGCTAGTTGATTCGCGTGTAATTGGTTATCATCCATTACAACCTAATATAACGTAAAATCCATCAACACACACCAACCTATATCATCCAATCTTAAACTAAATTTTTTAAAATAAATATATAAAATAAATAAGCAAGTCTCAACACAATGCCCTATTCTATGAATAACGCTGTGTTAAAATTCACACCTGTGATATAACTTCATATGTTTTTGTTTGTTTTCAGCACATAACAGACAGAGAAAACGCTGAAATATGCTAAAACGAATAGTTGGTTAAAAAAATTGCAAAATTCCGTGGTTACATTATTGAATTCCACTTTTAAGAACTAATTTTACGACACTGATTTTCATTGAGCCTTGCTGGCTGAAGCTTATTAGTTAATTTTTATAGGCATTGACATAGAGTTTAACATCATTGGCAGTATTGTCAAGATTAGAGGTTCTTTAGCTGGGGTGCTTATGGACCCTGGGGTCCATGTAAAATTACTGTGGTTCACACACACACACAAATATGGCAAATATTTTAAAATGGTTTATTTCTGTCTATATTTCTGAGATGACATATCGTAACTATTTACATTGTTCGGACTGTTGTCCTCATCTTTATTGTCATATTCACGACGTTTCGGCCGTTGTACGCTCCGGCTTTCTTCAGGTAATATACATTGGAATTTCGAACCGAACCCTTTAATTTCGTCCACAGGGGTAGATTGTTCTAGTCCCTCGTACCATGCCTTTTCTGGTTATCTCAGTTTCAGTTAATTGCCTTTAATCGAGATATTCAGAAAAGGCATGAGTTGTGACTTCGTGCTAACCCTAACCATCGTCGAATACTGAACAATTCCATCGACCCAATTTCACTTAGGAGGCTTGGGTCAAAATGTGGTATGGTTTTCAGTCGCTTTACAAAGCTGCTGAACGCTGGAATCGCCTTGGCAGATCGAGAACATCGAGGAGTAACCTTCCTGATAAATCGACTATGGTGATATTCGACTCCCGGTCTTACGGTGATTTTGTAAGCGTAGCTTAGATGTGGTACAAGACCGAAAGTATGGGGCACCTAGTGAGGATCGAGCTCACTACTCACTAATTGTTCTAGCGATACAAGCTTGCTAACCATCACACCAAATCGAAATGCCACAAATCTTATGATCGGAAAGCGAACGTTGCATCTACGCTGCCACACTAAACCCTCTCACTACTTATGTGGTGATCATGGTCCTTCATTAACTTCACATAAGCAGCAACGCATCAATTCATGGCAAGGCTGAAAAAAAGTACTGAAAATACAAGAAACTTTGAGAAACTCTATATTCGAAAATTATTTATGCTTTTTTTTGTATATGTTCGATACTTACGGAATGCGTCATATAATATCGTTCAAATTATAGCTTAATCGGTACGCGAGGTCAGAAAATAAATGGTTTTCATCATGTACATTGGACCTTCTTGGCACATCCATTCATAAATACATTACGTAAATTATACATCGTATTCATAAGCTGTGGAAGGACAGGGATGGCTTAATGGTTAAAAGTACAGGAAAGGGAATCTAGGAACCAAGTTCAAGTTCCAGCTGAATTAATTAGTACTCATTTCGCACTAAAGTCTTTGGAAAAGTCAGGATGCCATTTCAAACGATAGATCAAATTAGTGATTACTCCCTGCTGCTTGTGCCACGCAAAACGGTACAACCACTGGTATGTTACCCGAAGACACCGTTAAATAAGCCGAACATTGTGAGAAATGTAATGAAAAATCTTCCATTGGTTAGGAGATTTTATTGAATTGAAACATCATTTATAATACATTTATAACAATGATAAATAAATTAACATCGCGTAATTGTTACATAAATACAACGTTTATATCTTATAACTTAGGAGATATAAACGTTATATTTAAGTACTTTTATGTAACTGTATTACTATCTCCATTATAATTATGTTTGCCTCCCCCGCTTTCGTTAGTTAGCTCCTTAGTTAATTCACGCGACCGTTACACCTTGCCAATACCTTATAAATAATGGACTATTCTGCTTTGACCGCGTGAAAACACGGAACTGACATATCAGAGACGCTACTTGGTTTCAGTGAGAAAATGAAAGCAAGGAAGCTAGAATTGTTTAACGTCTGTTTCAGCGAAGTGGGAAAAGTTGTCAATTTCAAATCTTTTCATTTGCACACCCTTACTTATAAATAAATTTATTAATAAAAATGTTTGCAAGATAGGTTTTCGGTTAGTAAAAGTTATTTTATGCGTACCCCGTGTTGACACCCTTTATTTTCTTAAACTGTGAGATAAATCGAGAAGTCCTAAATAACAAAGAAATATGTTCCACCTGCCAGTTTTCCCAGGTGGAAAAAAGCAAATACAGGTTCGATTCCTGTTTGGAGGCACATTTTTCTTTGTAGGACATCTCGATTTAGACCGGCTTACGTCCACATCACGTTGAAACACCGTTTCTCGTATGATCACCGAAGTTAATCAACGTCGAGCCTGGTCAGTACCTAGATGGGTGACCGCTTAGGAATATCAGGTGCTGTAAGCTTGGATGTGCAAGTGGTGTAATTGCAATTCGTTATATTCACTTACACGTAAATACACTTGGGAAATATATGGGTACACCTATTCCCCCCAGCTATGGATTAATTAGTAAAACTTGAATCACTGAACTCTCTTTAAAAAAATTCTTACAATCTAAAAATATTTTCTGTCTTTAAATAACCTGCCGTTGATAAGGCGTAGAAAACGAATCGCTCAATCGATCTAGGCCGATGGACATTAAACCCCCTGTTTAAGATGGAAAAAGTACGGATATCAAATCCCACTAGAAATAACATTTATAATAATAGGAAATAACGACAAATGAAAAACAAATAATTTGAAAATAATGTTTATTGCAATAAGAAATAAATGTATGCATTATTCTTTATTTAAGCTATGGAGTTAGGAATATGTAAGGCACAATATCACAGATCACATAAATATCTAAATATATTGGAGAAACAAGTAGAAGTTTGAAAAAACGCATTTATGAGCACAAAAGAGACCTCACAAAAAACAACTTAGCTAATGCAATAGTCATACATAGAAATAAATTCAACCATAATTTTGATTTTAAAAATGCTACACTCATAAAAAAAGAAAATAACTCACTCAGAAGGAAAATTCTGGAGAGTGCCGCCATAGAAAATTACCCAAATATACCCAGGCTTTTTCTCTATTTCACCTTTCTTAACAAAATTAATGCTCTTACAAACAAATATACACAACAGATTCATAAAATCAAAAGAAAATGGTTGAATACATCAACACAGATATAATGACAATATTCTCCACACGTGACAAATACTGATGTTTCTCTACATTCCAGTTGTTAGGTACATTCTGTTTTTGTTTTTATTAGTTACTTTGTTCATTTAATTTCATTTTCGTATTTTGCTTTGATAAAGTCCGCATTGGACGAAACGCGTCAGCAATTACCAGTTTTCCTATTGTCATTTTTATTCATTCAACATCTAAATTTCGGAAGTAATTAAGCCTTTCTTGTGAGAGTCCAGCGTGTCTATGCGGTCTAAAAGCACTCCAGATTATATGGTGGTTTATCCCTATATAAGTATGACGCAGGTTCGAGCCCTGTCCAAGAGAAAATCTATTTTATTAAAGACTCTTGAAAACACAGACCGATAGACGCCATATACACTGTTTAAAGACAAGGATGTCTACTCAATCATTGTAATATAGATATATGTACTAAATATAGTATGACATACATTAGAATAGTAATTCCATTCTAATGATTACCTATATATTATTACTTCTATGTGCCGTGTCCCTTCAGGACGTGAGCAATCTCCACAATTGTAGCTTTTGTTTGATTTTTTACTATCACTTCCTCCTTCCATTCTGCCATCCATTCACATAATTTTGTCAAGTAGGTGGCTTGCTGTCTTCCCTGTCCATTTTGCCTTCGATATGTCCTGTTGGTGTCGAGTTCTCCAAGCCTGCTATCCTCATTATGTTTCCGAGAAATTTCAACTGTCTCCTTCTGATTTTAATTATAAATTACTTTTTCGCTTTCATTTCCCTAAAAATTTCCTTTTTTACACGTTCGTTCCGTTATGTCTGAACAAATTTCTGCAGTCCGGATATAAAAACAAAAAATAAAGATTTTTTAATAGACAGCATTACTGACAAAATGTGCATGGCATTCATCAGTCTTGTGAGGCAATAAATCTGCAGCTGGTGATTGATTCAGCTCGTCTTTTGCTGCTGGTGGGTCATCTCCAGAGACGCAGTTCTGAGCAGGATTCCAAAAATGTATTACTGGTAATAAGTTATATACAAAGTATTTCTGGTATTAAGACCTATTTTTACACTTTCATAGTGTTTTGACACCAGTTTGGGGGTTAACTATTTGCCCATAACTGGGACCCTAAAAGTTGCTACCACCACGGGTCAGGGTGGGTCTGGGAACAACAGCAATTAAGAAGTGGTTCCACGCTCCTCAAAACCTCTTGATCAGAGGCCTTGCTGTTGGACGTAGTTTATCGTCATACCCAGGACGCGGATGTAGTTTATCGTCATACCTAGGACACTTTACATAATCTGTCACTAATATTTATATGAATTCTTGCTGAAGGTGCGTTAAGAGAAGGGAATTGTATATATGAGAATGATTGCATAAACAAACTCAATAAAGAAATCAATGTTTTGTAAGTGTGCTTATTATTGTGAGGTCAAAAAGTGACAAGTATGGAGAGAAACAGAACTTATAGAAATAACAATGCCGTTACAGAATCCGATATTGCCTGTTTGCGAAGTTAATGTTACTAAGACGAAACGTTAATACGCAGTCTTGTTACTTTGTTGGAATGTGATGTTCTAGCTGAGAAGATGAAAACGCAGAAAAAAGTTTGAAGTTAATTATAAAAAGCAGATGCAATATACCCCGTAAGGATAAAGACTGTATCGACCTTAGTTAATAGCAACAACAATATAAGAAAGAACTCCAGAAAAAACACGGAGTAATGAAAGTGTAATTACATCTCAGAAGAAATCAGAATGAATATTTCTCAGCTTGCATAATAAAAAATGGCTTGACGTTTACCGGATCCGCGGCCCTGTGGGAAGACAACGACTTGAATAAAATAAACAAATGACCAAATGGAATTGATAAACACACAGTACTGATAATTACGGTGACAAAGCCTGGATTCAAAGAACATCTAGGAATAAGAACGTTTTAAAAAACTAATAATTTAAATAAGATAACCTTGCCTATTATTGCCCTAGATTTGACTTCAATAAGACGTTATACTCAATCTAATTATAATGAACGGTAGATAAAGTAGTAATTATGATTCGAGTGTTCAATGAGGCCTGATATATACTTGTCAAAATATTGTGTTAACATTGTATTACTATTTTAGTCAATTAGGCTTATTCCTTTTAAGTCAAATATTTTGTTCATGTTTTTGTCTATCTTCAGAACTGTTTGTTCGGTAAACGGGAGTCAAGCGGAAATAAATGAAGTAAAGTAAAATGTAAAACGCAAAATCAAGTTTTCAGGGTTTTTTTCTACTCTGTGGTAGAATTCTCCGAAGTTTTGCACCTTGACATGCTTACAGTTAAAGAAAAGAAAAAAAAAAAAGGACGGAAAGTAAATCACGTCCAAAGTTGGTGGTATTTTCTGATAAATTACTTAGGGTGTAATAAGTAGGTAATTCTTTAATCAGAAACTGCTGTCTGTTCCCCCTTGGGATCACCGAAGGAGCACCAGGGAAAACATTTTACGCAAAAAGTTATTACTTCATCAGTTCAAAACTTCCCTCTCTGTCTGTCGCCTGTCAGTCTTTCTACAACCCCTCTTTCTCTGTATATATATATATATATATATATATATATATATATATATATATATATATATATATATGTGCGTGTGTATGTGTGTTTGTCTAGGCCTGTGTGTGTAAATTGATACGTACATATATATACATAAATTTACATTAATCTTATGATCAAATCACAGATAGTGTTTCAAAATGTTAATGATTTCATATTCAAAAATTCCTGATATTATCGCAGATCTGTGCTGACTCCGGCCGCTCGTTCAAGATATCTCTTCCCAGTAATCTGTTTGCAGCCAAGTGTGAAAAATACATATTATTTACTTACACGTCTGTTCTTGGCCGTGCACACACGCACTTGCAAACGCACACACACACGCGCGCACACATAATTAAAACAATTCTGGTTATCACCTTAAGGCTTCATGCATAATTCGGGATGGGCTACTTGACCACGACTGTTTTCGAATCATTCATTTTATTGCAAGTTATTTTTACAAAGACAATCTTCCCTGTTATTACTTTAATATTAGATTTAATCTATTTTATTATTGTTGTTCTTATCACGAAAATTTAGGTCGAGTCACTATTCGACAAGAAAACTAAATACTTTTCTTCTTCTATATGTTGTGTTCTTTCAGGACATAGGCGACCATAGTTCTCCACAACTTTCTATTCCGTGTGCCTCTTAGCAGTTTTTTTTTCTCCTTTTGCTAAGGCTTTCGCCCTCCCCTGTTCCACTATCGATTCACACAAGTTCGTCATGTAAGTAGCTGACTGCCTTCCATTTCTTTTATCCTAAATATATCCCGTGACGGTCAAGTTTTCCAAGCTCTGCTTCCTCGTTATGTTTTCAAGGAATTTCCCTGATTCTGAGCAGAAGTGTTCTTTCTGTCGCCATTTCCTTGTTGCTTACTCACCCCATCCTTGGAATTTTCAGTATCCTTCTGTAGAACGACATTTTTACTACTTCTAGTTTTTTTCTCCTCATCTTTGTGGAAATTGTTCTACGTTCACTGCCATATAAGAGGATGAATATCACATAGCATATAAGAGAATGGATATCACATAGCATATAAGAGAATGAATATCACATAGCATATAAGAGAATGGATATCACATAGCATATAAGAGGATGAATATCACATAGTATATAAGAGAATGGATATCACTAGCGCTCTTTTCTTTGTTTCTAGGAAAATTTGTCCGTTTCTCAGCACATTGCTTCTCTTTCGCTAGTCCAATGCATGTTTGAATCTCGGTGTCGCATTTTCCATTCTCTGTTAAACATAGTTATTGCTTTAAAAAAACAGATATAAAAGGTATATATTAATATATAATAAAAAAAAAATTAAAACAAAGGAGGAAATAAAATGAAAAATACTTATCGTAAAATAGTAAATCGAAAAACTGTATATCAAAAAGTGTAGTTAATCGGTTATCGTTAATTATATTTTAGGCGTTGTGTCCAACTTTACACTCTTTTTGTCCTCCATTTAGCTATGAAGAGCAAACAGTTTCTTTTTTCTTTTAATAGTTCTTCGATTTAACATTTTAGGGTAAATATTTTCCCTTTTTGTTTTAATGTATTTGTATGCATTATATATTAATATATGCTTTCTCTTTCATTTATTTTTTTTTAAGTCATAATAAAATTCTGCCCTTTCCATAAATCATTTGAATAAATATCACGAAAT